CAATTAAAAAATAGAAGTTACATTTGCTAATTTTAAGAAAATGGCAGGTAACTGATGACACACTAATATAAAATGAAACAAAGAGAATCTATACCAATGAAATGAATCTGATGTCCTTCATTGTTGTGCAACATGTTCCTAAGTATACTTTCAATACATCTGTACCAATGTGTCATTAGACAGCTTGCATACCATGCACGTGTTTTTTAAAAACATTCCCATACATTCACAATTTTGTTTTAAAGGTACCATATTACAGATGGTATAAAAGGTATTATAAAAGGTAGTTTTTATATGGGAAAGCATATAGTATATATAAATATAATACATAATAAAAATGACCAGTACATGAACTATTGGTAAAATGATAAGGATGACCAAAGTATATTAACCCTTCCAATGGATGCTGTCAGTTTTGAGAAGTATTTTAGGCACTTAACTTTGATTTTCACCAATTAACTAATAACATATGAAATACAAGGAGAGTTCCTGATCTTTTCAGATACTCTGTAAAGACAACTTTCCAATGAGGAGCCTTATTATCAAAACCAAGTATATCATCATCATTCTTTATCATATTTATCATATGTTATATAATTTATAAAGAAAATTCAAAGTACTCGTGAAAGTCCTTGTCTAGCTTTGGTTCTATTGAGTGGGGATGGTGATCTAATTTTCCATCTTTAAAAGATCCATTTCAGTTCTATAACTAATGAAGTTTTTAGTTTTCATTTTCATTTTACCTAAACTAACATCTGATTCTTCCACTGCTTATATTTGGTCATCAGTCTGGCCTCAGACTTTGGTCTGTAATATCTGGAAAAGAAAGTGGGAGAAGGCGTGGGATGCATCTTCTCTATTCCACGTTCTAATATTTGGAATATTTGGACTTCACATGCTATCATATGTTTCATTAGCCCTGCATTAAAAAAAGTAATTAATTTGGTGAGAAATTTCTTAATAATGATGTGTTTAGTGCTGAGGTATTTTCTCAGAGAAAGCCATTTCTCTGTGAGAGTAGCCTTTCTGCACAAGGTATTTACTTTTCAAGCAGATGTGAGTCCAGATAGCTGTGCAAGAGAACAGCTTCTTGTTTCAGAGATTCACGACCTGCAACTGAAAAAGGAGAAGACGTAATTAGGATGGAAAATGTTTTCTTTCAAATACAAGCAATTCTGCTTTTAACAATGCAGCCAAATTACACATTTTTCTACAGGTAGAGTAAGAAGCAGATGCTTCTTACAGAAGAAGTCAATGAACATGGCTCACCCAACAAAGGTATCGCACTGCTAAGGAGAGAACATGAAGAATGGCAAGCACTCTGCCTACTAAATGCCTAACAGATAGTCTTCCTTCTCTGGTTCTTTACAATTTCTATCAGGACATCATCTGTAAACATAACAGAAATCAGCAATCCAAAACATTCTAGCCAGAGCAAGAAGTATTCAGATAAAGCATGCAATCGTCTTCTTTGGATTAATGTATGGATTACTCTGTGAATACAGTTAGCTCAGAGTTACAAAATAGTTTTATAAATAAAAGAGTTTCTAATATTTATAATACATTCTTCATACAACAAATTCTTTAATTCCTCATGGGTGAATTTTTCATGCATCTGGATCCTTGATTTCAAACCAACTTATAAAAGGAGCCTTAGATGCCTTGTCTTCCTGAGAGGGATACCAGTTCCCTCAGTAAAGGTGGATGGAAAATAAAACTGATCTCTTGACTTCACACAACGTATGTAAGCCTAAATCTTCAGAGAAGTCCAGTCAACACTTAGGTTTCCTAAAACTGCTTTGTAAAACCCAGAGGAGTAACTGAGACGAGGGTGAATTTGAGGGGCCATTGAACACAGAGCATTTTTCCAATTACAGGAACACCTGCACTGTATGGCTTTATGCTGATCTGATGTGAGCATTTTACAGAGTGTTTAATAGTCCTTCACATTCCTCATTCTGCAATCCAAAATGGGCCAGGGGTGTTACTGGCATGCTAAAAACCTCTTCAAGGCTTCTCGCTGGGGTTAATTTGATACCTTACCCACAATGTAGAATGTTTGGACTGGTAGAGCCTCAAATGCCACCCAAAGACACTCTAATTAATGGCTACAGTGCTTTGGCTTCTGGGGGCGGGGTACAGCAGAATATATTGTTTTCTTTTACTTGGTGAGAAAGGACTCTTGGAAAAAACAATGACTCAGCTCTTCAGCCGTGAAGCTATTTACATGAACAAGAAAGGCTGCTGCAGCCTTGTAAAAATCTGGCTGCAGATATATACTTTTTCTCTTTTCTTATGAAACGGTGGTTCAGGTAGAATCCTACATTTTCAAAGATCTTTTGAACATCTATTGCTTAAAATAAACATGTACTTTGCTGCCAGAGGATCCGAACAATAATTACCTTAATTATTTCTGTTTACCCTTGGAGAAATGTGGTATCTGAAACTGCAATATGAGAGCTTGCTGGGCTTTTTAAACACTTCCTTTCTGTGTAGTTAGTAAACAGTAAAGGAATGAATATAAAGTTTATCTGTATTTATGCAGTGGTTTTAAGAAGCCACACTTTTAAAATGCAGCCCTAGCATTTTTTTTTTTTTTTTTAAATCCTGCCGACTGTATTTTGCAAATCTCCTTTGGAAGAAAACATTAATGAAGTAGCATAGCTTGCTCTTCTAAAGACAAAACTATATTCAGAAACTTTTCTAGTATTACTGTTATTTAAATTTTGAAATGCGGATGGCATGGTAGTTGTGAGACAGTGCCAAACTAATATGCCAGATTCCTTGCCCTTTTATAAGTCACCACAGCAAGATATATACTAACTAAGCCCTTGTATTTTGTTGGGCAAGGCAAGTACCCAACTTTTTGCCTTAATGTTCTTGACTTTGACATCAAAGAAAATATTCTAGCAGTAAAGTTGATGCCCTCTTATTTAAATTGTGGCTCTGATTAATTTTCCTGTAACTTCACTTATTTTAGAATTTTTCTTCAGCAATACTTAAATTCAATGAAATAGCTACATTTAGTAACCTACCTCCAAGGATTGTTTTAAAAATTATCCAGCAGAGAAAAGTGAAAACCATGAAATGCAAAGTACACTAACATCAGAAATTTCGTCCAGGAACTTCATTGTACATTTACTCTAAGGGCTATTTAATATGACTTTTAGAATCAAATTAATAACAAGCCTGATATTAGCATTGGCTGTTCTATAGAAGTTACTATGTGTCTAAGAGTGAACTTCCTTCTTGTGTCTCAATTCCTTGCCTACAATATGGAAATAAAAATATGTTCCAACCTATGATAGGGGAATGCAGTAATATTGACTCTTTTCACATTGAATAAGATTTGGTTTATGTTCCAAGGTGTTCTGAAGGTAAAATAGGCTCTTGGGTAACACCATTAACTCTTGCAGGCCATTTCAGTGAATATATTAAGGTAGTAATTTATTTGTTGGCCTTTTAGCTGTGAATGGTGGGGGGAGTTTAAAATCTTCTCAGGTTATAGTAACAACTTTAGAGCTTAACTGATGCTTTACATGTTAATTGCTACAAGGAGTGTTCAGTTCATTTTTAGGGAATGTCAGATCTGGAAAGTTTTGAGTGACTTTCGTAATTTGTAAAAACTTTCAAGTTTATTCTATAAAAAGTTTTGAAATCACCAATGCTTCATCTCTCTCTGTCACCTTTTCCCCAACAACATAAAACGAGGTTGAATAAGTTCTACCTGAAACTGATAGGAATCAGATTGTTAATAAAATCTAGAGGCTGCTTTCTGATGTTAGTAAAATTCTTTGGATTGTATCCATCACCTAACCTTTCTCTTGGTTTCTTATTGTTTGTCTGGGTTTCTTTTTTTTTCCTAAACAACTAAAACTGCATTGGTCCTTAATTTAGCTCATCCTACGGTAGAAAGTATTTAGGTTAAATCTGTGTTCTTGGCAATGATCATAATTTTATAGAAAGCATCTTGTATAAAAAATTATTTTAAATAATATTTACCAATGAGCTTTCCCACATTTTTGTTTCTTCATAGGTGGAATTAAATTTTTACTCAGAAGGAGAAGTAACTTGCTTGTTATTGTCATATAGCAAAATGAAGGCACTCAGTGATCTATGCAGGAATGTAGTGTCTATCTACCATGAACACAGCAGCTAAAATGATTTTTCCTTCCTGAGGGCATACTCAGTCAATGAGGTTTTGTTCTGGAAATGGCTCTAGTTAGAAACAGCTAATGGCAATCCCAGCACAGTACTGCAAAGTACTTAGTCAGCATTCAGGAAGTGTTTGTTGATAATGATGACTAACACCGGGCGCTGTCACTCAAAGTACATTTAAAGTGATTTCTGATGATCCATGGGCCAAATCACTCCCAAAGAGTTATGTGATAGCAAAACTCTCTCACATACAGGGAGGCCTTAAAATCAATACAGTGTGTTAGCCTCCAGGCCACTTTCAGAAACTAGATTTCTTTTACAATGACTGTTAAAAATATATGGCTTGTTAGAGAAATGCAGCTATTTGAATGTCCACCACCCACCCCCGCCTTTTTCTTTTTGAAAAGCTTTACTTGGTCTTTCTTCCTGATGTAGATCTCTAATTGACTGAAACTCCCTTTAGTTCAATTAAGCACTGAATTATCCCAGGGCTACTTTTTTAGGACTCGGTTTATAAAAGCACCACAGGAAGCTAGGTTGGCTTCAGAAAAATCTTTGATCTTTAGCACCCTGGAATATAGGTCAGGTTAAGGGATGTTTCTTCACTAACATGCCAAGAAGACAAATGTTTAGTGAAACTAGGAAACTTCTTCAGGATACCACTTCAGGTGGTATCGATAGAGCCCATGCATGCATTGGTGGTGAACAAGTCTGCTTATAGCACCCTCTCTGAAGAGATACTGGTTTGGCAGAAAGGACATGGATTCTGCTCTCTTGGTCATGATCACGTGTTTTACAGCTCTTGACTCTATTTTACTGCATATGCTGGATCATCATGCAGGTTGTTGAGAGGAAAATGACTTCCAATGAAATCAGGGTGACAACGTCATCATAACCTGTGCACCAGCTGGCCAAGGAGAAGGCAATGGTGAAAAGGATTCTTCAGTGATGAAATACATGAAAATTATCCAGGAGAATGGCATGATTATAAGCAGGTAAGTGCCTAGAAATGCTTTTAAAATTGTTTTCCTTTTATAAGTGTGATTTTGAGAGACAAGGGGAACCACAAGTATCCAGGGAGGAAAAATGAGAGTCACTCCAAAGAGAAGAAGCAGCATAGAGAAAGGTGAGATTTGAGGAGATTAAATCTGTACTTTGAGAAGTGAAATTTTCATTCTACTAAAATACTTGCCTTTAAAGGTGCATTTAATAATATGAATGGATTTGAAAACATAAATTCAGTTCCTTAATACTCACAGAGTATTTGCTAGAGATTTACAAGTACCAAAAGCCCTTCAAAATGTGGGGCCAGCTGTATTTATTTGTTCCCTTCCAAGGCAACTTGACTTTCTTTCAGATTTGACCTAACTGGGTTAACCAAGTTGGCTGTATACATTGCTGACAGGCACACAGCACATGTGGGCCTGGCCTGTTCTCATGAACTTGGTATAGCTGGACAAAGAAGTAGGGATTTCAGAAGAAGCATTTTGCAAGTTTCCAATTTCAAAGGCTTTATTTCTGTATTATAAGGAGTAATACAAATGAATATCAAAAACTGGATGGCATGAGAGAAGAGGGTGTGTTGGAAATACTGTACTGATTTTTGCTAGGTCCTTGGAAGCTATAAGTAGAAAAAGAAGTTACTTTTTATATGCAATATATTAGTTGAAGCCCTGAGGTCAAATGATAGGCTCATGATGAATGGTTAGGTCAGGAAAACTCATATGTCCCTTGGCTTTAAAATTCCTTGATACTCTACTTAACCTTTGTAACTTTCCAAAAGCATACTGCACACAAGTTGCTTCCTTGAAAATTCCCGTTTTGAAAATAAAGTCTAGAATTACAGAGAAAATTATGACCCAGTGCTCGTGTCCAAAATATATATATGTGTGGCCTTTGAAGAAGGGATGCACCTGGGAAAAGAGTGCTGACTCAAAGAGGTGGTGAGCTGTGGGGCAGCCCTGGAAAACATGCTTCTCTTTCAAACTGGAGGAGATGCCCTCTTACATGGAGGTGTATCAATATGGCTTTTCATTTTCTGATAATTGCATGTCTACAGTGGATTTCCTGTCTGCAAATATTTATTTTTCAGAATGCAAATTTGTTTTGAAGAAATTCTCTTTGATTTAGAACTTTGTTTTGCGAAAGCGAAATTTGTCCTCCTAGAGAATAGATGTTAGGTGAGTTTCAGCCCTCTCTGAGAAACACTAGTAACCTCACCCTCTGTGTATTTTAAGCAAAGGATTAACCAATGGCAGTTCATGAAGTAGGAGAGCTCGGTCTAACCTCCTTTTTAGATGAAGTTTTGGGGTGATGGTGGTTCCTAGGGTTCAGAGCCGATGGCCAAAAAAGAATCTTGAACACATCTTTGGTGGAAGATGGACCCATGCTCAGGAAGAGCTGCACTGCGAGTGTAGGAGGTGACCTTTTCTGGGGCGGGGGAGATCAGAGTTTCCAAAGAGACTTTCCCATGCTAAAGACTTACTGGAGGCCTAGCTTTTGTCAAGCTAAGGTTGTTTTCCCTCTGGCAACCATTAACCGTTAAGTCCAGGGAGTTCTTGGATTTTAGGCTGTAATGGGATTGCCTTTTCCTGGTAAACTGGTAGAGACTCTTCAGTTTAACCATTTGTTTTGCCGTCCTTTCCTGTTTTTGGGTAGCTGGGAGTGTCCGAGGAATATCATACATGTCCTATCAGGGGATGGAGGGTGTACCAGCTTATACTTTGCCCTCCATTTGCCCCACACTCCCTCACAATGTTTTACAAGTAGGAAATAGAGGGTTAGACATTCATTCCAACCCACTGAGCTTGAGAATTTACAAGGAATTAACAGGAATTTACGCTCCTACTCCCTGGTTAGTTCTAGTACTAGAAAGTCTGCTCATGGTTTATGTGCATTTCTAGGTTCTTGTTTAACATACAGAAAACTATGTTATCAAACAACTATTGATGAAATATCCTAAAGACCGCATGATTTTCTTTTTCATTTTTTCTAATCTTAATTAAAGCATACATCTGACTTTTAAAACCATTACCAAATGTCTGTAATTTATAGAAATCTTAATCCTCACTCACCCCCAGATTATCCAGGATGCTGTGAGACTCCAAACTGGAGACATACAATTAGTGGTAAAATTTTGTGTTCCATGAGCTTCTTAAGCATCCGCTGAGGCACAAGGAAGGGAAAAGTTCTTTTAAACAAAACAAAAGAAAAAAACAAATAACAGGAAGTGACCCAAGTGTCCATCAGAGATGAACATAGAGACAGAAAGTAGAAGTGTAGTTTCCAGGTTGAAGGGAGATATGGAGAGACATAGTTTTGCAAGATGAAAAGAAATCTAGAGATTAGTCGCACTGCAATGTCAGTGTAATTACATACTGAACTGACCATGTAAAAATGGTTAACATGCTAAATTTTATACTATGTGTACTTTCGCATAATTAAAATTTTGGAGAACAAACATAAAAAAACAAACAAGAAATAAATTTTTAAAATGATAAACAACATAATCCCAAAGGTAAAATCAAATGTGATTGTGACAGAGTGGAAGCACAAGTTTCTTTCTTGTTGCTTGATTTGGTTTTCAAAGAAAAGACATTTAGCAAAGCTGCCAGTTGGAAAAACAGTAGAGAAACCAGAGCTAAAGGTATAGTGATATTTGTTATTATTGTTTGACTGACTGATTGATGAGTGAGAGAGAATTACAATTGGAGTGGGTGATAAGCATACACAACATACCAGTTAAAGCCTAAGGTCCACTCAAGCTGTCTGTTTGGAATCCCAGCTCAGCTCTTGAATGGTCACGTACCCTTGGACTTGGTACTTAAAACAGTAGTGCTTAGATTTCTTGTGTTAACATGGTCATAAACTTAGGACTTATCCCAGTTGTTGCAAGGACTTAAAAAAATTAAAAGAGGCACTGCAGTAGAAGCATTTAAAATCTGACAGTAAACATCATGTAGTATGTGTTTAATTTAAAAACATAAAATGAATGAAAAGGAAAAACTGACAAATTATGGACAGTTAATTTCTTTTTTTCTAATTTTTAAAAATTCTGGTATAGTTAACATGTAATGTTATATTAGTTTCAGGTATAAAATATAGTAACTCAACATTTCTATGCATTACTAAGTGCTCTTCGTATCTTTTTAAATTTGTGTTTTTGTATTCTTTGGGTAGTATTCTTTGGTAGTATTCCACTACTCAGTAGTGAAATTCCTGGATCATATAGTAATTCTATTTTTAACTTTCTGAGGTACCTCCATACTGTTTCCACCATGGCTATACCGGTTTGCATCACTACCGACAATCTCACGAGGGTTTCTTTTTCTCCACATCTTTGCCAACACCTGATGTTTCTTGTTTTGTTGATTTTGGCCATTCTGACAGGTGTGGGGTGATATCTCATTGTGGCTTCCATTTGCATTGCCATGAGGATGAGTGATACTGAACGTCTTTTCATGTGTCTTGGCCATCTGTGTGTCTTCTTTGGAGAAATATCTGTTCATGTCTTCTGCGCATTTTTAAATAGAATTATTTGGTTTTTTCATTTTGAGTTGTGTAAGTTCTTTATATATATTAGATACTAACCTTTTATCAGATAGGTCATTTGCAAATACCTTCTCCAATTCAGTAGTTTGTCTTTTAGTTTTGTTGATTGTTTCCTTTGCTGTGAGGAAGCTTTTTAATTTGAGGTAGCCCCAGTAGTTTAATTTTGCTTTTGTTTCCCATACCACAGGGGACATATCTAGAAAAATGTTGCTATAGCTGATGTCAAAGAAATTAATGCCTATATTTTATTCTAGGAATTTTATAGTTTCAGGCCTCACATTTAGGTCTTCAATCCATTTTGAGTTTATTTTTGTGTATGGAGTAAAAAAAGTGGTCCAGTTTCATAGTTATCCAGTTTTTGCAGCACCATTTGTTGAAGAGACTGTCTTTTAATCATCTTGTCTCCTTTGTTGTAGATTTATGGACCATATACTTGTGGGTTTATTTCTGGGCTCTCTGTTCTGTTCCAGTCTATGTATCCATTATTGTGGCAGTACCATACTGTTTTGATTACTACATCTTTTTAGTATATCTTGAAATCTGGGATTATGATACTTCCAGTTTTGTTCTTCCTTTTGGAGATTGCTTTGGCTATTCAGTGTCTTTTGTGGTTCCATACATATCTCAAGATTATTTGTTCTAGTTCTATGGAAAATGCTGTTTTTATTTTGATAGGGATTACAGTAAGTGTGTAGATTGCTTTGGGTATTATAGACATTTTAACAAAATCTTTTGGAAGCCATGGACATGGAGTCTTTCCATTTCGTGGTGTCATCTTCAGTTTCTTTCATTAGCATTTTATAGTTTTCAGAGTATAGGTCTTTCACTTCTCTGGTTAAGTTGATTCCTAGGTATTTTGTTATTTTGGGTATAATTGTAAATGGGATTATGTTCTTCATTTCTCTTCCTTCATTATTAATATATAGGAATGCAACCAATTTCTATATATTGATTTTATATTTTGTGACTTTGCTGAATTAATTTATCAGTTCTAGTATTTTATTTTAGTTGGAGCATTTTTTGTTGGAATCCTTAGGGTTTTCTATATATAGCATCATGTCATCGAAAAATAGTAAAAGTTTTACTTCTCCATTACCAATTTAGCTGCATTCTATTTCTTTTTCCTGTCTGAATGCTGTGGCCAGAACTTCCAGGACTATGCTGAATAGGTGAGAGTAGACACCCTTGTCTTCTTTATAATCTTATGGAGAAGTTTTTCACCAGTGAGTGTGATGTTAGCTGTGGCTTTTCCATAGATGGCCTTTATTATCCTGAGGCACATTCCCTTTAAGCTGGGTTGTTGTTTTTTTTTAAATCATGAATGGAAGTTATACTCTGTCAAATTCTTTTTCTGCATCTATTGAAATGATCATATGTTTTTCATCCTTTGTCTTGTTAATGTGATATATCACATCGATTTGTGAATATTGAGCCAAACTTGCAC